AAATCCACATAAACTGAGGAAGATGAACATTTCTACTATTCAAAAAGTAGTGTTGCCCAAAGAAAAGCCTTTGTGAAAAGGAGACCACCTGACCAAAAGGCTGGTGGCTGAAGACAAGAACCCAGAAGAGCAGACAGGAGTGTGCCCCTAGTACAAAAAGGGCCTTTACTCTACTTGGTTTCATTGTATTATTCTGATAAAGGAAGCAAGAATGTGGTTAATCATTTTAATGAAACTGGAGTTAGAAATGCAGCTATAAATTAGTAACACTCTGAATTTTTCTTTCCTTTTTCTTGTTGTTGTTTCTTTCTTTGCCCCAGATATGACTCAAGCAGCCATGTCCCTTTTGAAGAAGGTGGCACTGGCAGCCTTTCCAGGGGACACTTCAACTTGCCATGGTTACTGTTGGTCAGCCACAGCGAGCTGGTGCTAGTCAAGGTACGCAAAGATGTGCTGTAATGACAAGCAAACCCAAGGTTTTCCAGCGATACAAAGCTGCCCTCGCTCATTTCTAACTCATGCATAAGTCCACTCTCTGATGCCTGGACTCGGCTCCACATTGTCCTCACTCTGGAACGTGAACTGATGGAGACTTCGTCATTGGGAACCAGAACCAGCTGAGATGGTAGGATGCAATGGCAGACACAAGGACTAATGCCAGCTATACGATTCTGCCAGGAAATAACTCACACAACGGCTTCAGTTCAACTGTCATTAGTTAGGCAGGCGCTCTACCCTTTGAACCACTCCACCAGCCCCTAAGTTCAATTGTCATTAGTGAAACCAACCACAAGGCACTGATGAGTTTCAAAGAGAAGCAGAGAGAATACTTCCTCCTCTTTCTCCAGGAAGAGAAGGAAGCCAGACACTAGTCTGTTATCAGAGGTGACAGACACAAAAGCACATATAAGCCAGGAATTGTAGTGCACGCCTGTAATCTCAGCTGAGGCAGGAGGATCGTGAATTCGAGGCCAGCCTGGGCTCCATGGTGAGACCCTGCCTCAAAGAATACACATAGCAAAACACAGCACAACACACCTAATGAGGAAAAGGCTTTTGTTAGCTACGATGGAATGCTAACCAAGGAGAGTAAATGGTGCACTTTGGAAACAGCTACATTGAAAAATAACTCCTGACCTGGGGACAGAGCACATAGTAGAGTGCTTCCCTAGCATGTAAAAGTGGTCCTGGGTTCAAACTGTAGCACCACAAAAATAAGTAACAAAACATAATTTCCAGGAACACTGTGAACTGTGACGTGAAGGTATCTGTGACCCCCATGTAATCATCAATTACACAATCAAGCCCAAACTGGAAGTGTACACTTTTATTACCCAGGGACCCCAATAGTAAACCACAGGCTCCTCACTGTGCATTGTTTTGTGTGTGTGTTTGTTCTGGGTTTTAGTTTTTGGTTTTTGAGACAAGGTCTCACTATGTCGCCCAGGCTGGCTCTAACTGGAAATCCTCCTGCTTCCTGCTTCCACTTCCTGAGTGCTGAAATTATAGGCTTTTAATTAAACAAAATGACCAAAACTTACCAGGTGGCCCACAGAATCGACAATGAGTCACAAAGCCAGACTCTGAAGCTATGAAACTGGGAACAATACCCAATCACGCTGCTCAGTGTGACGAGGTAAATGACTCCACTCTCAGAAACAAGACACTCGGGACTGGATTCCAACACCACCCAGAACACCTGGTGTGTTCGCCACTTCTCACTTCGTGTACTGTGAGGATCTCTGTCATTGGTGGAATCTATCCAGTTCTACCTGTGGGGCATATGCACAGTGGGAAGTGCATTCAGAGACACTGGACAAATGACCAATTCTACCACTGCACTAAGATCTTAGCCTCATTTCTTAGTAAACTATGCTATAAAAGGTAAGCTTGAAGAAAGGAAGGACAACTAATACTTTATCAAGTGCCTTAATGTCATTGCCACAGGTTTTCTAGATGTTATGATTGAAATTTAGAGACTGGGAAAGCAGAGCTGAGAGCAGCCAATGATGACAGTGAGAAATTAAATGAGAATTTCGCAGTTCTACAACTGTGAGAAACTGAAGTCAGCCAAGACTCTGACCTGTCTTTAAAGTGGATTCTTTCTCATACCCTCCAAATGAGAGTCAAGCCCGGATGGTGGTGGGGGCGGGGGAGGGACAGTGGCTCACACCTGTAATCCCAGCTACTTGGGGGGCAGAGATTAGGAGGATCCAAACTTGAGGCCAGACCAAGCAAAAAGTTTGTGGGAACCCCTCCCCCCCATCTCAACCAATAGCTAGGCTTGGTGTCATAAACCTGTCATCCCAGCTACATGGGAAGTGTAAATAGGAAGATCCCAGTTTAGCCAGGCTGGGCAAAAATGCAAGACCCTATCTCAAAAATAACTAAAGCTGGGTGCTAGTGGCTCACATCTGTAATTCTAGCTACTCAGAGATCAGGAGGATTGCCCAGGCAAATAGTTTGTGAGACCTTATCTTGAAAAAACCCATCACAGAAAAGGGCTGGTGGAATGGTTCAAGGTGTAGGCCCCGAGTTCAAACCCCAGAACCACCAAAAATAATAATAACTAAAGCAAAAAACGGCTGGGGGCATGGCTCAAGTGGTAGAGTGCTGCCTGTCACGGGAAAGGCCCAGAGTTCAACCCCCAGTACCAAAAAGAAAGAGTCTAGTCTGGCTGACCTGACCTCAGTCTTGAGATTCTCCACAGAGTAGATAGCAACAGCAGCAAAGTAATGCACAGGTAATGCAGCTGAGCTGCCTCTGCTTGAGCTCTCTGCTAAAGCATTGAGAGCATGTGACTTTACAAGATCACTTTTCATTCCACTAGTAACTCTAAGGATTAAAATGATCTCAAATCGAGACATCTTTTGCTGCAAACATGCAAATTTTCCTCTTCGGTTCTGGGTGTTCTTCTCAAATGACAGGCCTGAAAAATAGTGTAAGACAGGGTCATTTCTTTAGACACGAGTCTCAAATTCCTACCTTAAGGATGCATGATTTCATGTCAATGTCTTTCTCAAAATATGGTGCCTGGAACAGAGGTTAACGTGGTCTAACTACAGGTGTCTGCTTTGAAACCTGATTCCCTTTGATCTGAAACTTACACCTATTAATTAAACAAATACTACTAAAATGCCAATTGAAAACCACAGCAAAGCCAGCACAGGGGCCCATGCCTGAAATCCTATTACTTGGGAGGTGGAGATTGGGGGATCAAGGCCGGTCCAGGCAAAAAGTTAGCGAGACCCCCATCTCAACCAATAAAAGCTGGGTGTAGTGGCATGCACCTATCATCCCAGCTACATAGGAAGAGTAAGGAGGAGGATCAAGGTCCAGGTAGGCCTAATCTTAAACGGTGAGACCCTATTTGAAAAAATAACCAAGGCAGGGGGGGGGATGAAGGAGAATGGTGGGAGGGAGTGAATTTAAGTATGACATATATATGTTATAAGAACTTTTGTAAATGCTACTATGTACCTCAGCCCAGCACAACAATAAAAAAAAAGCTATAAAAAAAAAAAGATAGTGGAGCACCTTCCTAGCAAGCAAGAAGCCCTGAATTCAAAACTCAGCACTGCTAAAATAAAACAGTACCAAGACTACGGTTTTTTTGGGGGAACGGTTAATGGGGTTTGAACTCAGCCTTGTGCTTGCTAGGCAGACATTCTACCACTTGAGCCACACCCAAGCCCTTTCTGTTTTAGTTTTTTTTAAATAGGATATCATGTTTTTGCCAGGGCCATCCTGGACCACGACCTTCCTATTTACTTGTGTAGCTGGGATGACAGGTGTGCACCACCATGCCTGTCTTTTTTTGTTGATGTGGTGTCTTGCTAAACTGTTTGCCCAGATGGTCCTCCCGATCTCTGCCTCATGAATACCTGGGATTACAGGTATAAGCCACTGCCCCAGCTTGACTGCTATTTGTTTCAAGTTATATCCCAATATACATATATAGCGTCTTACTATATTCTTCCTACCTCACCCTCCCAAGAATTGGGATTACATGCATGTACCACCATACTTGGCTATATTCCGGTCTTAATAATAAGACTGAGGCCAACTAAAACTTCAAAAAATTTCCCCATGAATGGCTAAAAATCCCTTCTTCAATTTATATCCATGTTGCTGATTTTTTTTAAATTTCATTCCCCTTTTTAACCTAGCTAGATGTAGGCTTTAAACATATCAGATCTTTCTAAAATTTTCCTTCAACTATCTGCTTAATTAGTTCAGAATCTCTGCTGTCCTACAATTTCACTGGGCAGTCCTTCCTGCTATAAGACGCCATTGACTAGGATATTTTGGGGGGGGGGTCTTTTTTGGGATAGGGACTCACTATATAACCCAGGCTGGCCTGGAACTCTCTATGTAGCCCATTCTGACCTCAAACTCATGATCCTTTTGCCTTAGGCTCACTAATGCTGGGATTACGGGCGTGCACCACCACACTGAGCTCAGCATACTTTCTGTATCTTATCTACATCACTGATAAAGATGCTGAAGACAGGAAAAAGGACAACGCCCTGTGGATATCGCTTCCACTTGGGTATTTACTAATTTTTCAACCTGCAAGTTGCCTTCGCAATTGTCTGGACTACATTTCTAAATCTAATTTACAGATCCATTAATTTAGTAATCACACTGAAAGAAAAACATTTCTACTCCAATACAGCTCCTCCCTAAGGAGGACTCCTCCCTAAGAGCACCCCCTTTCCCCTAAGTCCCACCTCTTCCCCTCTAGACCCCTCCCCTTTTCCAGCATCTCCTCTTCCTCATCTAGCTCCTCCCCTTCCTCCTGCATCTCCTACCGTGCCACGAACGCCTGTTCTCCTTTCAGAAGTCCCCGTTTGCCGCACCAGGCCCCTCCCCTTCCTCCCTTGTGCCCGCCCAAGACCCCGCCCTCCCAACGACTCCTCCCACCGCCCCACCCAAGCCGCCGCGCTGCTCCCTAGGCCCCGCCCACTCCTAGTGCCGCCCCAGGGCTGCTGTAGTACCTGCCTTGCTACCCCTCGCTGAGGGTCGCTTCTTTTCGAACAACGCCGAGCCTCTCGTTCTGCAGTTCGGGGAGATGTCTAAGGATTTGCTCTGAGTTGGGGGGGGAACGCGGCTTCTCACACCCTTCGAACTGGGTGAAAGACCCCGGAGCGACTAGTCTCTGCTGTCGAGCAGCAACAGCGGGTCGGGTCGTTGCCCTGGGTTACGGCCGCGCTGGGGGCGGGTCCGCTTACAGTCGCAGCGGAAGTGACGCACAAACCTGGCTCAACAAAGCCGAAAGCGCGAGGCTGGTCCTGCAGAGCTGGCGTGAGGTGCGGCGCCTTCTGGCTGCGTGTGGGGCGAGGGGGAGTCCGTGGGGTGCTCCGCAGGCAGCAGGACCCAGGGACCGGCCTCCCGTGAAACACCCGCGCAACTACAACTGCTGGGCCAGGCTGCTCTGCGCCCTGTAGGACGTTTGGCAGAGTTTGCCACTTGCCCCCGCGGGGCAGAGCCTCCCCGACGTCCTGAGAACGCGGTGCTGGCGCCATGCAGACCTGGTTGTTCAGCTCTGCAGCGCCCGCTTCCTCCACTGGGCAGCACCAACTTCATCGCGGGCATGGGCATCTTTTTCGCGTCCATAGACCGCCAGCTCCCAGAAGACATTGCGAGGGCGCCCCCGCCGGCGGCCCGGAACCGTGGGGCACCCCGAGGGGCACCAGGGGCCGGACAGCGCCCCTCGGCCCGGGGCCGCACCGATTGCAAGGTCGTGCAGTAACTTCGGTCCGTTATTCTACACTGTGGGAACAAAGTACTCTTCTAGAATTTGACTGTTTGACTTCTAGAATTTGACTTTTGCAGTACTGGGGTTTGAACTCTTCTAGAATTTGACTGTTTCAGCTTTTTTTTTTTTAATCTGAAACATTGGTATCACAAGCTGGAAGTAATGGCATGCCTACATGTACTTCTAAAATGAGTTGGAAAAAAATATACTAAATCCCACTTTTTCAAAGTTAAAAAGTTTCCATCACAAATTTAAATAGGAGTAAAGCATGAAGCAACCAGAGTAACATCAGTGCTGGCATTTGAAAAGTTGTTACATCACTCTTTTAAAAGTAATGAAAGAAATCTAAGTCCAATGGCACTTTGATATCCATAAACATCTACTTAAGTATACGAATAGAAGCTGGGTGCATCGGTGCCCTTCTGTAATTCCAGCGCTCAGAAGATAGAGGCAAAAGGCTCTTGAGTTCAAAGCCAGCCTGGGCTACATAGGGAGACCTCCCATCTCAAAAAAATATATATGCATATATATGTATATGAACAACCTAGCTAAAAACTAGGTTAATTTTCCATTGCTTTTCTCATTAAATTCATAATTGTATTTTTTACTATTCTTCCACAGAACTTTATTCTAACATGCCTATGGTCAAAGATTTAAGAGTTGTCTTACATTTCTCTGCAACAAAAAACTATAAATTGAAAAAGAAACTTAAGTTTTCCTGAGATCATAAGGCTAAAACATTTTTGTTAATGTTTTTCCTCATAATTCATCAATTTCTACTCAGTTGGAAACCAGTGTACCACACACTGATAAAATATCAAGCAAAAGAATGTTATTGGAGAGCTGGGGATGTGGCTCAAGCAGTAGAGCACCTGCCTAGCAAGGTAAGGGCAAGGCCTTGAGTTCAAACCCCAGCACCACCCAAAGAAAAACAGTGTTCTTGGAGTGCATCAGAAATAAATGGATGTGGTTTTCCTCCTCCCATTAATTATCTGTGAATATATATTACATATTTCTAAAGTAAGGTACATTGAACTATAATTTCAATTTTTCATGTCAGTTGAGTAACAAGTATGAACATGCAAAAATGGGTTTTGTTACAGCCTTGTCTCAAACTTTTCTGAATTTTTTCACACCAAAATTCATATAGTAATCATTAAATGAAAAATTTCAGTGTTCTGTCAGCTGACAACGTGGTTTGGCTCTCATTCAACTCTGTTGAACACAGTTTAGAATAATCTCACTGAAGGATTTGTTAGCTAATCATAGTTACTTCCTCAGTTTCTGGGATGTTGCCATGACTATTAAAAAACTTGACTAAAAACACATTCTCTTAGCTCCATGTGGAAGTGGAAAGACCTGGAAATCAGTTTCCTTTACCTCAGTTGTGACTGCCCCACTTTGAAACCTGCTGTATCCACTGTTGAAATCCATCAGGTAAAAGCCTAAAAGCATGATGGAGTGGAAATGTTAAGGGAGAAAGAAATTGGCTAAAGATGTTTTAAAAAGCCAATATAGAGATGGAATCAAGATGCCAGAAACGAACACAACTTTACCAGTAGAGATGCTTCAAAATCAGAGAAAGTTACAAGTGTGCTTAGAAAAATCTGGGGGGGGAAAGAGATGGAAATGGAATATATTGAGAACTGTACTTTCTGCTCAACTCTGCAAATCTAAAAATGCTCTGATAAAGAGGACTGGTATAGTAGCTCAAGTGGTAGAGCACCCTGCCTAGCAAGCGTGAGACCCTGAGCTCAAACCCCAGCACCACAAAAAGCAATAATAAGAAAAATTTTTTAAGCAAAGCCAACTCATGATACAAATTTTTTTTATATTTGTTTACTTTTGCAGTACTGGGGTTTGAACTCAAGCACCTCACACTAGCAAGGCAGGTGCTCTACCACTTGAGCCATGCTCCCAGCCCCAGATCTATTTTAAATAGATTTGTCCAACCTTAAGGGGGGAAGAAAAAAAAAAAGGAAGAGAAGAGCATGAAAGGGTAGGTGGTAAGTAGTAAAGCCTTGTTGCGGGGTAGAAAGAGGAATTTAATCTCAATGTAAATACTCTCCCAAGAATGGAAGGAAGGCATGTGTTTAGGTCTAAAACAGTGACAGCTGAGCAGTAATGAAGACACACTTAAAGCCTTTAGGGTTTTTTACAGTGCTGAGGGTCAGGTGCTAGGCAAGCGCTCTGCCTACCCTCCCACCAAAGGAAAACAATTCAAGCATATTTGGGAAATGACAGGGATCAAACCCAGGTCCTTCTATGTGCTTGGCAAGCACTCTACACTGAACTATGTCTGCAGCCCTTGGTTTTTGGAGACAGGGTCTGGTTATGTAGCGCATCAGCATCAAATTCATGAGTGGTGGATTATAAGCATGCACCATCATGCAAGGCCATAAAAGCATGAGTTTTAAAACTGGGGCTATAGTCTTTTAAGCAACCTCAGAAACTACAAAAATTTAGAAAAAATCGTAAATTCTGATCCAACTAATCAGAAACATTAGCCTCATTTTCATACTAGATGCTTATGCAGAGAGCCCTCTACTGGTTCCAGAAAAACCTAGTGCTGTCAACCTCTGAACTGAGAGTCGATAGAAAACCAGGTTTTTTTTGTGGGGGTGTGGGGTACTGGAGTATGAACCAGTGTTTCATGCTTGCTAGGCAGCACTCTACTACTTGAGCCAACCCATCAGCCCTTTTTTTGTATTGGGTATTTTTGAGATAGGGTCTTGTGAACTATTTGCCCAGGCTGGTTTCAAACCATGATCCTCCTGTGATCTCTGCCTCCTAAGTAGCTAGGATTACAGGCATTAGCCACCAGTACCTGGCTAATTAAAAAAAAAAATTTAACAATTCCAGGGAACCCTACCCCACTTCTGAGGTTTGTTATTAGAAAGCATTCTTCAAAATCTTTATTAAACTTCCCTGTTAAGGCAAAACCATTCAAGAAGGATATGAGGTCACCAGGTATGGTGGGACTCACTTGTAATCTCAGCACTGGGGAGACTGAGGCAAGAGGATTGGGAGCTCGAGGTCAACCGCGTGACACAGAGAACCTGTCTCAAAAATTAAAAAAAATAGGTCAGAGAAATAAAATTCCATCAATTTAGCCAATCTGGGGGGATACTCAAAGCCTGAAACTTTCCTATCAGTTCTGGGGATTGAATCTAACACCTCAAAACTGCTAGACAAGCACTCTTCCACTTGAGTCACACCCCCCAGCCCTTTTGTTTTTGAAGACAGTCTCACGATGCCTTTGTCTGGTCTGACCTTGAACTCTTGCCTCTGCCTCCCAAGTAGCTGGAATTACAGACATGCACCACCACACTCAGCCTGAAAGCCTTGATTTTAGGGGGCTGAGGGTGTAGTTTAGTGGCTGAGTGCTTGCTCGGCATGTGGGAAGGCAGCAAAAAAGCAAATCCCCAAACACTATTTTTGCTACCAGCATGACAAATGACAATGCAATAGCCTCTATATTAAAATAGTGACCAGGCAAGTTGCCATATTGTAGCAGGGAGGAGGGCCAGAAAAGAAACGGACAGGACTGTGTTCTGATAATGAGACAGGGGGAAGGGATGGCAAAGCAGAGAGATAAAACTTAAAGAATTAAAACATGAAGGTCACATAGCACTGGGGAAATGAAATAGCCAATGAAGTGACATGCAGCCATATGTGTGTTGAGCTTTGCTTTTTGCTTCTGTAACCTGCTTACAAGGGTGTATAAGGTGAGACCTCTTTGTTCTCGGGGCTCAGCCTTCGGACACAAGTCCACTGGGTCTGTGTCAGCACAATAAAATGTTCCTTGCTAAACTGCCTCAATGTCCCTTATCTCAGCTTGAGATTCCTGCAACATTTCTTGGGGACTTGTCCGGGATTGTGGAGACAGTGAGTTATCCCCTCCCTGTCATTGGGGTGCATCCCCCAGACCGCCGGGAGAAGATACCACCAGGAGCCAATGGACATCTTGATCCTAAGGGGGATTCATCCTCCCAGGAAGTTGGGGTGAGGGCCTTGGATGCACAATGGAACCCACTGAGGCACAGGAACCAACTTGGAAGCACCACTCATCAGATTGGTAAGAACCTGGGTTCAAATTCAGGCCTGCCTCAGGAGGCAGCAGGGGAGACTGATCACCTCCCAGAGACCCCCTAATAACCCTACTTGGGGTGAAACCTGGTCTCTCAGGTTAAGGGAGTGGGGCAAAAGTGTCTGAGACACCTCAGAGAATTAATGGGGGGGTTGAGCTTTTCCTGGGAAATAGTCACAACTGAAGTTAAGGGTTGGATAACAAAAAAATTCAGTTCTAAAGGAGGGAGACTCCCAAGAGAACAAATGCAT